TACGGCCCCGTCGACCCCGCGCGCCGCCCCTTAGCGGCCCCTTACGGCCCCGTCGACCCCACGCGCCGCCCCTTAGTAGCCCCTCTCGGCCCCGTCGACCCCGCACGCGCCCCACCTAGAGGCCCCGTCGGCCCCGTCGACCCCGCGCGCGTCCCACCTAGCAGCCCCGGCAGCCCCGCACGCGACAGCCACGGCCCCGCCAGAACCGAGCCGCCCGAACCGAGCCGCCCGAACCGAGCCGCCCAGCCCGAGCCGAGCCGCGCCGCCCGAACTGAGCCGCGCCGCCCTCCCCGTACTGAGCAGCCCCCTCTGGACCGAGCCGCCCTACCTGAGTCGTGCTGCCTACTGCTTTTAGGGTTTTGCCTGCTGCTACTACTGCTGCTGTTACTACTGCTCTTCCTGCTACTATGACTAGCCCTGCTGTACTCGCTTTCGATGCTGAGGGCCGCCCCCTGAAGTTTGACACCTGGCTGGGTGACTTGCACCTGTTCCTCCAGCTCACTGCCAAGGAGGACATCTCACTGTACGATCACGCACTAGGCCTCGCTGCTGCCCCTGCTGTTACTGCTGACAGTACTGCCCGCTCCCAGTGGCAGACTCGTGACGCCCACGCTCGCTTTGCTATTCGCAACTCCCTGCCTGTAGATGAGCGCGAGCACTTTGGCCAGCACAAAACTGCGCAGGCACTGTACACTGCTGTAGTTGCACGCTACTCCTCACCTGCCTCTGCTGCGCTAGGCCGTCTCTCGCTTCCCTACCTGTTCCCAGACCTGTCCGCTTTCGCCACAGTCGCTGACCTCACCACGCACCTCCGCACTAGTGAGGCTCGCTTCCGTGCCGCTATGCCCGCTGAGTTTCTTGCCACCCACCCCCCCCCGCTCTGGCTCACTCTCTACCACCTTGTCACCCGTCTCCCTGACTCTCTTCGTGCGGTCAGGGACCACTTCCTCGCTCGCTCCCCCACTGAGCTCACCATAGACCTGCTCGAGAAGGAACTGCTTGCAGCAGAGACTAGCATAGTCGCTGTAGCTGCCTCTGGTGGCGACCCCCGCACCCCTTTCTTCGAGGGGTGTTCCCCTTCCCCCCTTCTCCCCTCTGTCGCCTCTGCTGCTGCTGTCAACCTAGTTAGTACTGAGCAGGTCGGGACTGCGTCCGCTCCGAGCTGGCGCCACAGCGGCAAGGGCAAAGGGGGCAAGGGAGGTGGAGGTGACGGCGGGGGAGGTGGGGGTGGGGGCGGTGGCGGCGGTGGGGGTGGTGGCGGGGCTGGAGGGGCTAGTGGCAGCGGTGGGGGTGGAGGCGGCAGCAGCGGAGGAGGTGGCCGGGGTGGGGGCGGTGGTTGGGGAGGCGGTGGACGCGGAGGCGGCAGGGGCGGTGGTGGTCGAGGTGGTGGTCGTGGAGGCACTGGCGGTGGCCAGAGCCAGCAGCACACTCCGTCTTCCCAGGAGCTTCGTGAGTGGTACTCTCAGCACGGGGGGGGGGGGTGGCCTTAGCTGCACGTACGTTATCCGCACTGGTGACCGCACTGGCCAGACGTGTGGGAGGGCGCACACCACGCAGCGCTGCTTCTCCCGCCTAGACGACGCTTGGCGCACTCAGTTCCCTACTGCCACTGAGCTGCCCCGCTGGGCTGAGCTGATGAGGAAGAACATTGATATCTATGCTCTTGACTTTGATGCGATTCTCACTGCCATGTATGTGCTGTCTACTAGTGGAGAGGGTGATCAGTACCTGCGTGTTCCGCCCGACCCGGGCATTCGCACCAGAGAGGCTGCTGCTCTAGGTGCTTGCGTGTCTGCTGCCCCAGGTGCTGGTGAGGCTGCTGCTCTAGGTGCTAGTGAGTCTGCGCCCCCTGGTACTGAGTCCACTGAGGCACTGCACACCTTCACTCTAGACTCAGGAGCTTCTCGCTGTTTCTTTCGTGACCGCACTGCCCTTGAGCAGCTTGCCCGGCCAGTTGCTGTCTCCCTTGCTGACCCCTCTGGGGGTCCGGTCATTGCGACCTCCTCCACTGTTCTTCCTTGTCCTGCGGTGCCGTCGGGCACACTGTCCGGTCTCCACCTCCCCTCGTTCTCTACGAACTTGGTGGCGGGTTGTGCGCTCCAGGACGGGGGTGTCCACCAGTTCACCCCTGCCTACGAGCGCGTGACACACTGCACGTGTGCTCGGACGGGCCGTCATCTGGCTACCTTCACTAGGCAGCCGGGATCGGACCTGTACACACTGACCACTGAGTCCCCTCAGGTAGCTGCGTCTGCGTCTGCGTCAGGTCAGCTGTCTGCCCCCTGCTCGTGTCGCTCTTTGGCGCACGAGACTGTCCTCTGGCACCACCGCCTTGGTCACCCGTCAGTGCAGCGCCTTCGTGCCATGCACAAACGGTACCTTGTCTCTGGTCTTCCCCGGGTACTCCCTCCCCTCCCACCCTCGCCTGCTCCTCCCTGTCTTCCTTGTGTCGAGGGGCGGCAGCGCGCCGCTCCCCACTCCTCCTCGTTTCCCCCGACGACTGCTCCCTTGCAGACGCTCCACATGGACGTGTGGGGCCCAGCCCGCGTCCGTGGACAGGGTCCGGAGAGGTACTTCCTGATCGTTGTTGACGACTACTCGCGCTACACCACGGTCTTCCCCTTGCGCACCAAGGGTGAGGTCCCTGATGTTTTGATCCCTTGGATCTGCGCTTCTCGTCTCCAGCTCAGCGAGCGTTTCCACTCGGACTTTCCTGTCCTGCGTCTGCACTCAGACAGAGGTGGCGAGTTCTCCTCCGACCTCTTGGCGGCCTACTGTGCTGAGCACGGTATCCGCCAGACGTTCACGCTTCCGGCCTCTCCACAGCAGAATGGGGTTGCTGAGCGCCGCATTGGCTTGGTCATGGAGGTCGCTCGTACCTCCTTGATCCATGCGGCTGCCCCCCACTTTCTGTGGCCGTTTGCGGTCCGGTACGCTGCGCATCAGCTCAACCTCTGGCCCCGTGTCTCCTTGCCGGAGACCTCGCCCACACTGCTGTGGACGGGGGAGGTTGGCGATGCGTCGCGTTTCCGGGTCTGGGGATCTCGAGCTTTTGTCCGCGATACGTCCGCGGACAAGCTCTCCTCCCGCGCTGTTCCTTGTGTCTTCCTTGGCTTTGTCCCGGACGCGTCTGGTTGGCAGTTTTACCACGCCACCTCGCGCCGTGTCCTGCCCTCTCACGACGTCACTTTTGACGAGTCGGTGCCCTACTACCGCCTCTTCCCCTACCGCACTGCCCCGCTCCCCCCCCCGCCTCTCTTCCTCGCGCCAGGTGCTGCTGTGGTAGACCCCCTCCCCCCTCAGGGTGCCGCTCCCTCAGGTGTGTCCCAGGTAGACCCGGTTGAGCCTATCGAGGTAGCTGTCGACTCTCGTCCTGCTAGGGGTGCTGAGCCTGAGCGTGCAGAGCCTGGGGGTGCGGAGCCTGGGGGTGCGGAGCCTGGGGGTGCGGAGTCTGGGGGTGCTGAGCCTAGGGGTGCGGAGCCTGCGGGTGCTGAGTCTGCAGGTGCTGAGTCTGGGAGTGCTACACCTGGAGGAGCTCTCTCCTCAGACGCGTCAGGGACAAAGCAAAGGAAGACACAAGGAACAGCGCGGGAGGAGAGCTTGTCCGCGGACGTATCGCGGACAAAAGCACGAGATCCCCAGACCCGGAACACCGACGCATCGCCAACCTCTCCCGTCCAACGCAGTGTCGGCGAAGTCTCCGGAACGGAGACACGGGGCTAGAGGTTGAGCTGATGCGCAGCGTATCGGACCGCAAACGGCCACAGAAAGTGGGGGGCAGCCGCATGGATCAAGGAGGTACGAGCGACCTCCATGACCAAGCCAATGCGGCGCTCAGCAACCCCATTCTGCTGTGGAGAGGCCGGAAGCGTGAACGACTGCTCAATGCCCTCCCCACGACAAAAGTCCCTCAAGAGGTCGGAGGAAAACTCCCCACCTCTGTCAGAGTGCAGACGCAGAACAGGAAAGTCCGAGTGGAACCTCTCGCTGAGCTGGAGACGGGCAGCGCGGATCCAAGGGATCAAAACATCAGGGACTTCACCCTTGGTGCGCAAGGGGAAGACCGTGGTGTAGCGCGAGTAGTCGTCAACAACTATCAAGAAGTACCTCTCGTGACCCTGTCCACGGACGCGGGCCGGGCCCCACACGTCCATGTGGAGGGTCTGCAGGGGAGCAGTCGTCGGGGGAAACGAGGAGGAGTGAGGAGCGGCGCGCTGCCGCCCCTCGACACAAGGAAGACAGGGAGGAGCAGGCGAGGGTGGGAGGGGAGGGAGAACCCTGGGAAGACCAGAGACAAGGTACCGGGAGTGCATGCCACGAAGGCGCTGCACTGACGGGTGACCAAGGCGGTGGTGCCAGAGGACGGTCTCGTGCGACAGGGAGCGACACGAGCAGGTGGCCGACAGCTGACCTGACGCAGACGCAGACGCAGCTACCTGAGGGGACTCAGTGGTCAGTGTGTACAGGCCGACTCCGGCTGCCGAGTGAAGGTAGCCAGGTGGCGACCCGTCCGAGCACACGTGCAGTGTGTCACGCGCTCGTAGGCAGGGGTGAACTGGTGGACACCCCCGTCCTGGAGCGCACAACCCGCCACCAAGTTCGTAGAGAACGAGGGGAGGTGGAGACCTGACAGTGTGCCCGACGGAACCGCAGGACAAGGGAGGACAGTGGAGGAGGTCGCAATGACCGGACCCCCAGAGGGGTCAGCGAGGGACACAGCAACTGGTCGAGCAAGCTGCTCAAGGGCAGTGCGGTCACGAAAGAAACAGCGAGAAGCTCCTGAGTCACAGTTACAGTCTACCTCTCCACTGCCTGCTCCTTCTCCTTACACTGCGCCGTCGGGTAGTCTTACGGAGCGTCGTGAGCCTGAGTCTCGTCCTCCGTCGCCTGAGTCTAGTCCTGCGACTTCTGCGTCTCGTCCAGAGTCGCCTGTCCGCACTGCCCGCACTGGTCGTCGTGCTCCACGTGAGCGTCCTCCTCCTGTCCTTGGCACTCACTATATGACCCTGCGTCCTTCCACTGCTCCACAGCGCGTCCCTCTGCTGTCTCCTCCTGCGTCCTCTCTTCCTGACGTTGCCGACCCGCCGTCAGACCTTACTCGTGCTGCCAGTCCTACTGTCGCGCGTCTCCTTGCCACTGTTGTCACTGACTCTACCTTTGAGTCCTCTGCTGCGTCTGCTCTAGTCGCTGAGCTTGTTGACTTTGCTGCCGCCTGTCGTCTAGACTACGCCGCTAGCCTTGTTGCTGAGTCTGAGTCTGTCTGTCCTCCGTCCGTCGGGGGTGAGTGTGCTCTTGGCACGGACGTCCTTGAGGACAGACAGGAGGAGTTTGAGTGCTTTGCTGCTGCTTTACCTCATCTCGTGTCCATGCTGATTGCCCCTGAGGGAGACCCGGATGCACCAGACATCCCGACCCCACGCTCCTACGCAGAGGCGATGGAGGGTCTCTACTCCTCTCAGTGGCAGACAGCCATGGACGCAGAGATGGCTTCCTGGAAATCCACAGGCACCTACGTCGACGAGGTTCCCCCACCCTGGGGCGAACATCGTCAGTGGCATGTGGATTTTCAGGGTGAAGCGGCCGCCGGGTTCTCCGCCTGTCTTCAAGGCGCGTTACGTTGCACGAGGCTTCAGTCAGCGAGAGGGAGTTGACTTCTTCCAGACCTTCTCCCCGACCCCGAAGATGACCACTCTTCGGGTTCTGCTGCACGTCGCTGCTCAGCGTGACTACGAGCTCCACTGCCTTGACTTCAGCACTGCGTTCCTACAGGGCACCCTGCACGAGGAGATCTGGCTGCGCCGCCCACCTGGCTTCACTGGGTCGTTCCCTCCTGGTACCCAGTGGAGCCTCCGGCGGCCAGTCTACGGTCTCCGCCAGGCGCCCCGTGAGTGGCACGACACACTGAGGACTACTCTTGCTGCTCTTGGGTTTGCTCCTTCTACTGCTGACCCGTCGCTGTTTCTACGCACCGACACCACTCTGCCGCCGTTCTACGTTCTCGTGTACGTAGACGACTTGGTCTTTGCTACTGCTGACACTGAGGCACTCGCCCACGTGAAGTCGGAGCTGCAGAAGAGACACACGTGCACAGACCTGGGTGAGCTGACAAGCTATCTTGGCTTGCGGATCACCCGGGACAGAGCACAGTGCACCATCACCTTGACTCAGTCACACATGGTGCAGCAGGTCCTTCAGCGCTTCCGCTTCACGTACTCCTCGCCTCAGCCCACTCCTCTGCCTACCGGTCACTCGCTCTCAGCTCTGCCTTCGGATGAGTCCGTAGAGCCGAGTGGCCCGTACCCAGAGCTTGTGGGCTGCCTCATGTACCTGATGACCTGCACTCGACCTGACCTAGCCTACCCGCTTAGCATCCTAGCACGCTATGTTGCTCCTGGCCGTCACCGGAAGGAGCACATGGATGCAGCTAAGAGGGTGTTGCGCTACTTGTGCAGTACGTCGGGCATGGGGCTTGTGCTTGGAGGACGGCGAGACGTTGTCCTCACTGGACACTCAGACGCTTCTTGGGCTGACGACCTGGCTACTCAGCGGTCGTCTCAGGGTTACACCTTCAGCCTTGGCTCTGGCTCAGTTTCTTGGCGTTCTACACGCTCTTCCTCTGTTCTCAGCTCCAGTTGTGAGGCTGAGATCTACGCCACAGCCATGGCTGCCCAGGAGCTTCGCTGGCTCACCTACTTGCTGACCGACCTGGGAGAGCGGCCTCGTTCTCCTCCAGTGCTGTACGTCGACAACAAGGCCGCCCTTGCCTTGTGTCAGGAGCACAGACTGGAGCACATAACGAACCACATCGCTCTGCGCTACTTCCTTGCTCGAGAGTTGCAGCAGCGTGGTCAGCTTCGTCTCTCTTACGTGGCCACTCGGGCCAACACTGCTGACGTGTTCACCAAGGCTCTTCAGCCTTGTGACCATCAGCGTTTCTGTACTGTTCTAGGCCTTGTGCCTACTCTCCCTCACTTGCTCACTTCTTGACTTTGCTTGTACTGTGATCTCTATATATATACCTGCATGCTTTCACTTGCTAGGTTGTGATCACTGTACCTCTTGTTATATTATCAAACTGCATGTGAACTGGTCTTGTGACCGCTTGCTTGTGCTCGGAATTTGTGTGGTATCCTTGAGATCCACCCTGAGCTTGCTTTGCTTTTCTTGACTGGTCTTGTGACCTCTTGTTCTCCCCCACTTTGCCTATGGGGGTGTGTCAAACTTATATGCTATAGCTTGTTTAGGCTGTAGTGGGGTAGTCAATATGGGGTACAACACGTTAGGGTTTCACTACTTGTACCCAACTTTCTGCTAGTTCAACCATTCCTGTTTCTTTCATTCTAACACTCAACTGCTTGCTAGTGCAACCCCTCCTTCTTGTTCTAAACTTCTCACTGCTATTCTGACATGGTTTCAGAGCATTTACGCTCTTGGCCTGTGGGCCCACCAACCTGCTTCCGCTGCTACTCGATCTGTCGCACGCCCCGGGGCGTGCGACGTATTTTTCATCCCGCCGCGTGCCGGAGGCGCGCGGCGGTTTACTCTCTGGCGCGCGCCCCGGGGCGCGCGGCCCCTTTTCTTCCTGGCGCGCCGCCCCCGCTGCTCCGTCGCGACGCCCTGGGGAGACGCGCGCGCCCCCTGCCCGTCCGTCGCGGCGCCCTGGGGTGACGCGCGCGTCCCCCGACCGTCGCGTCGCGGCGCCCTGGTGTGTCGCGCGCGGCCCCTGCCGTCCCGTCGCGACGCCCTGGTGAGGCGCGCGCGGCCACTGCTGCTCCGTCGCGGCGCCCTAGCCAGGCGCGCGCGGCTCCTACTGGTCCGTCGCGGCGCCCTGGCACGGCGCGCGCGGCCCCTACTGCTCCGTCGCGGCGCCCTGGCCAGGCGCGCTCGACTCCTGCTGGTCCGTCGCGGCGCCCTAGCAAGGCGCGCGTGGCCCCTGCTGGTCTGTCGCGGCGCCCTGGCTAGGCGCTCGCGGCCCCTGCTGTCCCGTCGCCCTCCCCCCCCCCCCCCCCCCCCCCGTGCCGCCCATTGCTCCCGTGCCGCCGTGCGTGTCAGAATGAGAGAAGGATGATTGAACTAGCAAGATTGGAAGTACAAGTAGGAAAACCTAGAAGTTGTACCCCCTAAGGCTAAACCCACTATAGCCTACAGAACACAAGCATATATAATGTTTGACAGTGCGTTCCGCGGTGGTTGGGGGTGTGGGGTGGCGGGCATGGGGGTGAGCGGTGTGGGTGCTACCCTTCCCATTCTCCTCCTTCTTCTTCATCTCCCACTGCTGCAGCTGCCGCTGAGGGGGGTGGGTGTGTGGGAGCCGAGGGGAGTGGCGCTAGGGGGGTGACGTGGGAGTGGAGCTAGGGGTTCAGCAAGGGGTGTGTGAAAGGGGGGTGGGACAGTTGGGGGAGGTTGAGCGGAGGCTGCCGTCCTGTCGTCCGCAGCACCTGTAGTCCGGGGCACTGTCCTGGTAGCCCAGAGAGCCTGCTGCGCCTGTCGCCCGTGGGTCCGTTGCTCCTGCCGCTCTTCGTAGCCGCCGAGCCAGTTACTCCAGTAGTCCGGGGCGCTGTCCCGGTAGCCACTGTGCCAGCCGCTCCTGTTGCCCGTGTGTCTGCAGCTTCAGCCGTCGCCTCCTATCTCCTCTCATCTTACAGTCCCGCCTCCTCCTCCTCACTTGTCCTTTGTGAATGCCTCTAGCTTTTCTTGCAATTGTGAACCTGCTCTATGACTGCTTGCTCTGCTGATTACACCCCACTTTGGCTATGGGGGTGTGTCAGAATGTTGTATTTGTCTAGCCTGCAGTAGGGTACTCTATAGCGAGTACAGCCCAATTTAGGGTTTAGGGTTTGTACTCAACTGCTTGCTAGTGCAACCCCTCTTTCTTGTTCTAAACTTTTCACTGCTATTCTGACACGTGCAAGCAGTGCATTTTGATTCTTCAATGTTGAATGACGTGCACGTTCGGTTGTGCGGGGAGCCGTTGGGGAACGCACAGCTAAATTTGAAGTGGTACCTTTACTTAATTTCTCGTTTTTTATAAACCATTATCTGTGGTTAGAATCTGATTTATTCTGAAATTAGTAAAAGCTTGAGCATAACAACTAAATAAAATATAATTGTTAATGAGATCCTGAGCACTAAAACATGGGTTTTATTGATTTTGCCATTGCATTCATATAGTTTTAGTTTTTTTACAATCTTCGTAATCGGAGGGTAATATTTCTATTCCAAATAATATAAATTAGTATAACCAGACAAAAGGTAGTCCTATTATGAAACTATTTAATATTAATTTTCCTAGGAGTGACTATTCATATACATTAATTAGAAAAACTTGATGTTTCATAGAATAAGGCTAGTATAAGGATTAAAAAACAAAAATAGTTACTCTGGCGCGCAAGAGCAATCAGAAGTTCCTCACGTGGCGAAAATGTGGCGGTACCTTTGAAGGTTGAAATCGCGACTGTTTGTGATAGATCTGAACTTCAGCACAGCTGCCCGAATTTGGGGGGGAAGGGCGGAAAAGGCGAGCGAACCGGGCGCGCGCAAACGGGGTCCATCCAATTAAGGGAAACGCCGACGTGGCGATGTCGCAATAATTTGGGTTGATGCAATTGAGAGAAACGCGATTTCCGCCGATGTGCGTCATCTCGCCCCCTTGTTTGCTTGTGTCAGATGGTCAGTCGTACAGTAGTAAAATGTAATGTGACAATGTCATGTTTTTATGTAGAAATAGCACAACGGTATAATTTTTAAGTGGGGACGCGAAGCTGCAGGGTTCAAAACTTGGAGAGAGCACTCAGAGTAGAGAAAATAGTTACACTGAGAGCGTATTCCTATCCTCCTATCAATCTGACCTCCTATCAATATTGTACTTTTTGCCTGGTAAAAGTAGCGAGAGGTTTTGGGTTTAGGGGATTTTTCAGTGTGAGCTTGATAGGAGGTCAGATTGATAGGAGGATAGGAATACGCTCTGAGTGTAGGGCTTTTTTTTGGGAAGTTAAGTTTTCTCTGACAAATCAAGATAATGCTCAGGATCAACCCTGATTTTCAGAGTTTCAAAAAAATCAACCCTGAAAATCCGAGTAGTGAAAAACGGAAAAACAAAAACAAACAAAACAAGAGGCGACGAAATCGTCTTAAGGTTGCGAAGCATTTTGCAAAAGTACATTAACCTGTAAAGCTTTTAGAGGGTACAAAACTTAGAAATTTCAACAACGATTCTGAGTTGTCCCTAATACAGATCAACACCGAACACTTCAGGAATTGAACTTTAGACCTTACGACACCTAGTCACTTTTCTTACGACTACGCTACAAACAATATATTTGCGGAGCTCTTTGTAGTTATTGTTAGTTTTTCTTTGCGGCGGAAAGTGAACTGCACTAGGGTTTCGACGTCCCCTTTCTTCTTTGTCTCTCCCACTCGTGAGTGGAGCCCAGTTCTTCATATCAGCCCCGTACTCACGCTCCATCTACTGCTATGTCCTAAAGGTGAGAAGAATTCTAGCTTGAAGTAGAGATTATGTTAGACGAACACTCTAGATTAAGATCTTCGTTTACTTCCGCATTTGGTCGTTTTAACGGAATAGTAGCTCTGAAAGCCTAAGTTCGAGGCCTTTGAAAGGACGTCAGTTTTCCTTAGGTCGTTGTTACAATCCCAAGTGGGACTTCGCGAAGGATCGCTAAGGGTTGATCGCATAGTAGTGTTGCAGCGGAAGTTTGAATCTCAGGTCGGAGTGAATGTAAATGACTGAGTTGATAAAAGCATGCATACATCGGGTTTATATAAGAATACAAGGGAATACGAAAGGACCTAGACTAGCCATGTACTCTAAGGGGTACATTCCCTTATTGCAGCGAAATTCAAACTGTGCGGCGCGGGAACCCGTTTCAAACCTGTTCCCGCTCTTTTCGCTTCAAATGTTTCTGCCTGCATCGGTCTTGGTCAGACGGTTGCTGCGTCGCTTCGACTCTTCTGACTCCTCGACTTCGTACTCGGTAGAGTCGGCTCCTGCAGCATACAGGGATGCCTTCTCATAGAACTTCATATCGTAACACTCCCCTTCATTCCTGGGCGCAGGAGGAGCTGACTCGCTTGACTACTCCGGTGAGGTCAGAGCAGTGCTTGTACTGCTGACGTGGCAGGCGCTTGGTGAGGAAGTCTGCTGCCATTGTCAAACATTATATATGTTTCTATTCTGTAGGCTATAGTGGGTTTAGCCTTAGGGGGTACAACATTCTAGGTTTTCCTACTTGTACTCCCAATGCTGTTAGTTCATCATTCCTCTCTCATTCTGACATGGTATTACGAGCCTAGGTTAGGAACCTAGGACCGCTTGTTCCTAAGGGCCCACCGTTCCGCTAGAAGCGCCCTCGTGCGCCCTACCTTCCTCGCGCCCTCGTGCGCCTCCTTACTAGTGCGCCCTCGCGCGCCCTCCCTCTCACGCTGCCCGTGCGCAGCCCGCTAGCCGCCCGCGCGCGGCCCGTTTTTCGCGCGCGCAGCCCTCTAGCCGCCCGCGCGCGGCCTGTTTTTCGTGCGCGCGACCCACTAGCCGCCCGCGCAGTCGACGCCGCCCGCGCGCAGCCCGCCCTGGCCTCACGCGGCCCCTAGCACAGCCCGCGAGCTGCCCGTCGACCGGCGCGCGCTGTCGCCTCGCCCTCGTAGGCCGCCGCCCGTACGTAGGCCGCCGCCCGCACGTAGGCCGCCGCCCTCACGTAGGCCGCCGCCCGCACGTAGGCCGCCGCCTCAGGACAGCCGCAGACCGTCTCACGTAGGCCGCCGCCCGCACGTAGGCCGCCGCCTCAGGACAGCCGCAGACCGCGCGACGGTCGAGCCTACCCTCCCTGCCCGAGCCGCGCCGCGCCGTCCTGCCCGAGTCGCGCCGCCCTGACCGAGCCGC